CAGTCTGCTGCTTTTCTTCTCATGATAACCTGTGTCAGTTTACATTCCTTCATTTCTCTTTCTACTGTCCTTCAGATTTTCCATGTCTGTCTCCATCTGCCATCCACTGGAGAGCTATCTTTGACAAAGTGTCACCAGCCATTCTGCAAACATGTCCAGGTCATCTCCATCTTCTTCCCATATCTTCACAATAACAAAGTAAAAACAGTGAAATCTTCAAATATGGAATGCAATGGTTGTACAGTGACTAGACACTTGCCAGTTGGGACATTGGGTGTGTGATGTTACATCTATAGTTTTATTTTTTATGTGGCCAATATTATACACACTAAAATGTGACATCAAAAACAAGAAAAATCTCATAAATGGCTTTAAAACAGTTAAACACAATTTAATATAAGCAAGTTAGAGGTATAATGTAAAAACGATCACATTTTTGGTATAAATCTTAATTTAACTTGTATGAAAATAATTAGATCTTTACAATAATTTGAAAGTCTGGTAGCATATCTCACAATATACAATAATACACAAAATTACTGCTACAGCATCTAAAGTTGACAGGGTACATCAGTTTCAGTAAATAAAGCGACTGGTACAGCATTTCAAACTGCCTGGTACAATTACTTTAGTTTTTTAGTACAATAACTGAAGCTTGACTGGTACAATAACTAAAGCTTGGCTGGTACAATAACTCAGTTTAACTGGTAAAATAACTCAGTTTGACTGGTACAGAAATTCAAGACTGCTAAAGCTTATTAGGCTGACTGTCAGAAAAACCCAAGATGACTGATAGAATATCTCAAAATAGTGAAAATATGGGGGTGACTGCAGTCAAGCTAATATAAGGAATTCCAGAGAAATGTGACTAAAAAGTTTAACAAAACGGGGAAGTAGAAAAACGGGCACAAAACAACACAACGTAACGTTTCGACCGGGCGGCCTTTTTCAAACATAAGTCCAAACATAAGACAGTTTTAACATATGGATGTGAATCCTGGACAATCGGTAGGCAGGCCAAACAATTTTTGGAGGCCTCAGAGATGTGGTTTTACAGAAGAATGCTTTAGAATACCTTGGACAGCCAAAAAGAGCAACCAAGAGGTTTTTAAAAGAGGCGGGAGACCGAAGACAACTTATCACTGACATCAGAAGGAGACAGTCATCATTTTTCGGCCATGTTTATGAGAAGAGGGAAAATAGAAACATGTTGTGACACTGGAAAGATCTGTGGAAGGAGGGATAGAGGAAGACAACGAGAGAAGATGCTTGACAGTCTTGTTGCATGGCATGGAGGTGTGTCGGCACACGAACTGATACATGCTGCAGGAGATCGCGGATTATGGAGAGGCATGATCGCCCACGCCAGTCGGCAAGAGCCTGATGATGATGATGATGATGATGATTGATATATATTATATATATAATATATATATATATATAAATATCTATATATATATATATTATATATATGTATGTATGTATGTATATATCTATAGATTCATAATATATATATATATATATATATAATATATATATATTATATATATATATATATATATATATATATATACATATAGACACACCAGCATATATGTGTGGTTGAGACAGGCTCTGATCACAGACACTGGATAGAGTCATTAAGAAACTGAAGTGTGAAGAGTTACCTTTATCTTTGTGCCAGAGCATGCAGGTGTTGGCAATGAAATAGCTGACAGATGGGTTGGTTTTGCCTTAGTTACAAATTTAAATACAATGGTTCAGACTAACATTGTTAATACCCTTAAAAATCATGAACTGAGAATATGGGGAGTAGTGTCCGCATCATGGCTTAGAATGTGAGAATTAGGAGGAAAGACTGTCACAGCCAGGCATGAGAGGTGCACCAGACATACAAGAAGTCTAGTTAACCAGCACAAGACTGGCACTGTTAAATGATGACATATATGTTTAAGGGCAAATGTGAGCACCTATGGACTTATCCAGACGGCACTGAAGATATGAATGCATGAAGTTCAACCCCACCAGGACCACGCAACAAGTCATAAACACCCAGTGGCACAAAGTGCCAGGATTAGGAAGAGAATCACCCGGGCGCAGGTCCCAGAAACCTTGTTCAACAGTTAGGGTATATTAGGGCCCCCTGACAACAGCCACAGCAGGGCTTTAAAATAAAGAAAAATTACATCCCTCACTGGGACGGCAAGTACACAGTGAAGATAACCAAACTCCGAGTACATAGTGAAGATAACCCGAGTACACAGTAAAGATAACCCAACTCCAAGTACACAGTGAAGATAACCCAACTCCGAGTACACAGTGAAGATAACCCTATATATATATATATATATATATATATATATATATATATATATATATATATTATATATATATATATATATATATATATATATATATATATATATATTATATATATATATATATATCTATATATATATATATATATATTTATTTATGTTCACATAAACATCACTATATATACACACATAAAGAAACATCAAGCTGTAAACAGTAAGTGACACTAAACTGCCATAGACCATGAAATGACTGCCTCTTGTTATCACAATGTTGATTTTAAAAAATATGAAAGGCATCAAGCTTAACTTCAACATAACAATGTAGCTGATTAAAACATTACAATTATATATAAAATCTTTATGTGCATAATATAACATAATATAAAGTAACTTATTTCCTTACATTTTATATGCATATACAATTAGAAGAATTTATTCAAATTGTAAAAAAAAAATGTATATTGAATTATTCAAACAGTAAAAATTGGAATGAATTATTTAAATTTCAAAAGTCTATTCCCAAACATCAACATTATTATTCTCACATTATCATTATATCTTTCCATCTCAACCATTACCTCTTATAGTTTTTTCTGCAGATGCCTATAGGAGCATTTGTGTTCATGTCACATTTATCAGTGTCTGTCTAATTTGTCTCGACATCTGTTTGGTCTTCCTAAATAAATATGCTATCATGTCTACCTGAATTTTTGATTAAATCTTTCTCATCTATTTAATATTTTTCACTGTGTAATCTAATCTGCCTCAATGTCTAGTTTTTCTTAATGTCTATCTAATATTTCCTAACGTCTATTTGATTTCACCACATATTTAGGCAATATTTAAGCAAGGGAGACTATTCAGCAGAATTTAAAAGGAGGATGGCCATAGCAATGCAAAGGCAAGCAGCAAGGAAATCAAAGCCAAAATCTTGAGAGCAGGAAGCTGTGTCTGTAGATGAAGGGTCTGTTATACGGGCCTTTCTAGCCTGCCTGTGCTGTTCCTCTGACTTTTTTTCTAGATGCCTCATATCTTGTTTAAAATTTTCTTCAGCAACTCTCCTGTCATGATTAGATTGTTTAGAATGCCTGTATTTGAGTGTTTTTGTATCCAAGAAATACCACCGGATCTTTTCAGTTTCTTGCAGCTTTTATGATGCTGTTTTCTTAAATTCAAATTTTTCACAGTTTTCATTTCTGCTGTGGGGGAGGGGGGGTGCTCCCAGGCATAATCGTGTAACTTTACCACCCGGAGCAGTCTGAAACAAAGCAAAAAGAAGAGAAAACAACAGAATATAAATCATCCATCAATGACCAAAATTCATGCATGTCAAAATATATCACAGTTAAAGTGAAGCTCAGAGGGCCATCTTCACATTTCTAGGATTATCTGATAAGGTTTGGTCTCTCTGTGCAGAAAAGCTGGCCTCATGCAGAGAACATCACACCAAGCATAATCTCAGCTGCTCCAGCACCTGTGTACTGATGTTGCATTTGGGAAACAAACCTTTAACCTACAGAGGGTAAAGCAAACGGCTTGACCACTTTGCCATGATTCAGAATAGTGAACTATCTAAACCTTCTTTCTGCTCATCCAGGAAAAACAGTTCCCCATCAAGGGGCTTCATCCGCATGCACTCAAAATGAATAAGACCAGATTCCCCCATCAAGCCCTCCCATGGAGACCGGAGGGGATAATTCAAGATCTGCTGAAATCACATGTGTTCGGCAGAACTGCACAAATATCGCAGCCTAGCTGTAAACCATAACACAATGTTTTAACCACCCATTGAGGGGGAACACAGAAGAAGAGAAGAGGTACACTCATTCCTCATGTTAACGAATAAAAGGCTGGGAGTATCTGTGAGATATTGCCGACTGACCTTAGTTATCAAAATGGACTTTGCAATGGCTAATTATCAACAATTACATTAGAAAATCAGAAGCAATAAAACTTTTAACTGAGCACAACTGCCAGTGTGATAATGCAAAACATTTGTAAAAAGTAAATAAAATAATTTAACCTTTTCAATTTTTGCTTTGAGGTTTACTAACGCATACTTTTAACATGAAAAAAAAAATAAACTGCTCCAGTTTTTGTCCCCTTGCACATATTTTGTAAATTTTTTAAAAGTTTGTCTTCTTCCAGGATTGCATTTGTAGGAATAAATAAAGAACCTGTTACACTTCTGAAACATAAGAACCCCCCCCCCCCCCCCCCCCCCCCCCCACAAACCACATTATTTCATTCTAAAGTTGAGGTCTGCCTCCTGCCCTCACCTTCTGTATATATCAGACCCCTTAAATCTTTTTTTTTTACCCTTAGGGGTATGAGGACCACCATAAGAGACACACCGAATTAGCAACATATTCTGCCATGCTTACTTTTTGTACAATAACTCGGCAACATACTTTGCCAGGCTTACATTTTATAGAATGACTTAGCAACATACTATAACAAGCTTACCATTGGTACAATTACTCAGCAGCATACTCTGTCAGGCTTACCTTTGGTACAATGACTCAGCAACATAATCTGTCAGGCTTACATTTGGTACAATGACTAGGCAACATACTTTGCCAGGCTTACCTCTGGTGCAATGATTTACCAAAATACTCTGTCACACTTACCACTGGTTCTGTACTAGTCATCATGATGCTTATTGTACTTTGTGCACAAAACGACAACAAGAGACAGCACAATCGCCTCACAGATGATGCCGATAACAGGCCACAGCCAGTCCAGGCGATCTAAAAAAGACAAAATTAGAGGTTGATTTCTAGATTCTTCTGTGTGGCAACCAGTAATTCAGGATATTTGAAAGGTAACTATGCATCATTGATTTTAAAACTCCCCACATGGGTTTCAGTGTCTCATTTTGGGGGGAAAAAAACAAACCAACTGTTCCCCCTCCCCTTAAAAAAAAATAACTATACACCTACTATCTTAAAGTTCAAAAAGTAACCAAACTCCTCCTATCTACAGGTTCAAAAAATCCCTGTTATCTAGAGGTTAAAAAGAAACTATACACCTACTGGTGACATATTTAAAAAGAAACTATACATCTACCATAGACAGGTCCAAAGAGAAAAAAATGTGTGTGCCAAATATTGACAGGTTCAGAAAGAAACTATACACTGACTATCAACAGGTTAAAAAAGAAACCATACACCTACTTTGAACAGGTTCAAAAAGAAACTATGCACCTAATATAGACAAGTTTAGAAAGAACTATACACCTACTGCTATTGATAGATTTAAAAAGAACTATACACCTTCTATTGAGAGGTTCAAAAAGAAACTATACCTACTATCAACAGGTTAAAAAAAGTAACTACTCACTTGTTTTCTAAGGGTTATTAAAAAAAGTTACAACACATCTACTATCTAGTTTCAAAAAGATAAAACAATACACCTATTATCTACAGGTTAAAAAGTAAACATACATCTGGTATCTACAGGTATACTGCTGGGCTAGGGGATCGCCCTTTGCCAAAGAAATAATTTGAGAATGAGGCACAAAAGATGTGGAGGACACAGGGCAAGCTGTATGTTATAGCTGTCTCGGCAGATCACTGCATCCATTCAATGATGATTGAACTGTTATTTTTTATTTCATAATTTATATGCTGCACAAATACCATCTTCTGTCAATAATTCACCAACTTAGAGAGTTAAGTTCAGCTGTTTAGAAATGAAGTCAGGGACATTTCCATAAGTGCTCCATCCCCATCTTCAGCAGCCAGTTTGGAGTTACAATTCCAATGGTAGAGCAACAGTCTGACTGAATGCAGGTCTTGCCTTTTTCATGAGTTTTGAGCCTTGGCCAGATCCCATTTTCACTCTTCACTGCACCATTTCTTTTGTGATGATCTTTATGTGCGTCTGCACTGTTCACTCACTCCCAAAGGAAGCGTGATTACATCTAGCTTGTCCTGCACCAATTTACTACCAAGCGGTGCAGAACCACTTACAAAAAAGTGTGGCAGACACCTCAAAGGTTACTTGAGGCAGAAAAGGTGGAAAGGGGTAGAAATGTTCAAGCACACACAAAAATCAACACAGGAATGAATGAATGAATCAAGAAATGACATCACTGCCCACGGGACATTCTGACACATGCTCCGCCCCTTTCTTCAGTAACCAATGAAGAAGTGAAATGCTAATAGTACCGGCTGCAACCTGATAAGCCTGCATCTGTTTCTTCTTCAATGTTGAATATCTTCCAGAACATTTTAACCCCCCCCCCCCCCCCCCCCCCCCAATTCTTACATGTAGCGACAGACCCATTTTTGTATATTATGATGTCACCCGGACATGAATTTTCATTGATCAGCTCTTGCATCACTGACTCTGGTTCACAAAGTGGGAAAATGTTATGAACTAAACTGCAGATGATAAATCACAGGGAAAACTGCTAAAGAGAAAGAAACACATGGCAAAGTGGTTAAGGTGTTTGCATTAGTTCCAGGGTAATCACTAGAGAAATGGAGTTTGTGCAACAATTTTACCAGGGAAACACTCTGCAGAAAGAGACTTGAGCCAAATTCTACACAACCCAGTGAAACCAAGTTCATCCTCTCGCCTTTAAACACATAACCATCATCATCATCAAGTGCCTTGATGACTGCGTGGGCAATCCTGTCTCACCACAATCTGCAATCTTTAACAGCCTGTACCAGTTTGTGTACTGACACACATCCATGCTATGAAAATAGGCTATCAAGAATCTTCTCACACTGTCTTGTTCTGTCTATTTTTCCACAGATTTTTCCAGTGGTCACAACATGTTCCAGTTTCCTTCTTCTTTCAACATGACCAAAAAGTGATGACTGTCTCTTTTTGATATTTTTGATAAGTTGTCTTTGAGACCAAACACGTAATAAGAGAGAATAAATAGACAGAATTACAAAGCAATAAACATGAAAATGGAAACAAAAAGAGGCAGAAGGAGACATAGGAGAATGTAAACTGAAGAAGTCACTGACAGCCTTATGCAGCATAACATCACAGCACACCAAGAAACCGACTACGCCTGTCTCAAAGCCCTATTTCTGTTGAGAAAAAGACAAGTCAGCCATCATCATCTGTGTCACTAACCTTTGATCCGAACTGTAATCGACTTGTAGGAGTTCTGGCCATCCTCATCCGTAGCATTACAAACGTACTTGCCACCATCTGAGTCTTCTACCGTCTGGACTGATAGAGAAGCATTTTCAATGCCATTATGTTTTGCTAGGTGTATGCGGCCTCCGTCCTTTAATTCGAGCCCATCCTTGAACCATTTGACAGTGGGTGGTGGGTATCCTTTGACAATACAGCTGATGTTCAGGTTCTCACCCTCGATAAGACTCTTTGACTTTTCCATATCCAGAACCAAAGGTGCAGCTGGACAAATAAATGTTTAAAACAAACTGAATACATTTTTCTCTTTGCTGCGAAATATGGTAAACATAATGTTACTTCAGTTTTAACAGTTACCAGTGGATGTTGGAGAACCAGTAAAGAACGAATGTTAAATGCGCTGGAACACATGTGCCCAAGAAAACTGATGAGCATTAGAAAAGAGGAATTCAAGGCTTGAACTTGCTTGTATCATCTGTTATATGATAAGGAAGATGAAAGTACAGAGGGCACATAATGGGGAGAAATGGAGAGTGGGCACATCATGGGGAGAAATGGAGAGTTGACACATCATGGGGAGAAATGGAGAGTTGACACATCATGGGGAGAAATGGACAGTGGATACATCATGGGGAGAAATGGAGAGTGGGGACATCATGGGGAGAAATGGAGAGTGGGGACATCATGGGGAGAAATGGACAGTCGGCACATCATGGGGAGAAATGGAGAGTGGGGACATCATGGGGAGAAATGGACAGTCGGCACATCATGGGGAGAAATGGAGAGTGGGGACATCATGGGGAGAAATGGAGAGTGGGGACATCATGGGGAGAAATAGAGAGTGGGGACATCATGGGGAGAAATGGACAGTCGGCACATCATGGGGAGAAATGGAGAGTGGGGACATCATGGGGAGAAATGGAGAGTGGGCACATCATGGGGAGAAATGGACAGTCAGCACATCATGGGGAGAAATGGAGAGTGGGGACATCATGGGGAGAAATGGAGAGTTGACACATCATGGGGAGAAATGGAGAGTGGGGACATCATGGGGAGAAATGGAGAGTGGGGACATCATGGGGAGAAATGGAGAGTTGACACATCATGGGGAGAAATGGAGAGTTGACACATCATGGGGAGAAATAGAGAGTGGGCACATCATGGGGAGAAATGGAGAGTGGGCACATCATGGGGAGAAATGGAGAGTGGACACATCATGGGTGTCGCGTGCGAATGTGCACTAGAACGCACCAGTACTAAGTGAGCAAATAAGACGTCAAAACAATACGTAACGTTGTGAAGGTATTGTTGTCAAAGGCAGTCGATGTTTATAGTCCGAAGGAGACGGACGTGTGGATCCTTGAGGACGCTCTACACCGGGATCCCACGGAAGCAAACGTTATATAAAGTTGGATCCTTGAGGACGCTTTACCCCGGGACTCCAAGATAGACCTCAGCAGGAAGCTGGTGAATGTTACATTTCAGCAGTAAGCCGGTATACCTTCATTATTTAATTCAGACGGCTGAACTGAATACAAAGATGATTGTCTGGATCTCAAGGTCGGACTGCGACCTATCGTGAAGACATATCAGTCCATGGATGTACGAGCGAGCTTTTGTTGATGTGCTTGATTATTAATTGCATATTTTATCCTTGTGTTGATAATTGCTATTTGTCAATACACAAATGGAACTTTTAAAGAGAGTTCTCGTTCCGCTACGTTTGGGAAGCTTCAGCATTCATCATGTTATGTTACTCTTGGCCAGTGGCATGTTAAGTGTTGATGCCATTTGTTACATTGCGACACCCCTAGTCACCGTGTGTACGCCAAGCCTACGCACGTCACAATGGAGGCCAGCCGTTAAAGAATGAGGGACCTCTCATCACAAGTGTGATACGACATTTTGTCATATTGGTTTTGCCTCAAGTTGTACACGAAGCCCAATTCCAGTTGTCACAGTCTTTACATATCTCACACTGTGGATATCGTCCAGTGTATCAAGTCGCCGCCGCCGCCAGTCTGTTCTAGCATCGTTGGATCTTTATCTGGACTTTATCAATCATTCTTCGCTGGATCTCTGTGCCACTCTTTGTTGGATCTTCATCGGGACCGTATCACTCTTCGCTGGATCTTCATCATAATCAAGTCACCGTTACTGTCTGTGCCACTCTCCGTTGGATTGGATTGGATCAAGTCGTCATTTTCGTTGTATATGCTCTGCTACTTGCCGTTGTACCGGTCGTTATTTTAGCGATTTTTCATCGCTAACATTGCAGTGTGTTGTTTGTCTGCCACCTAATTGGTAAGTCAATTGTGGTTATTGTGGTTTCTGTTGCGTTGACAATTTTAACTCTTTCCTCCAGAGAACAGACCTGGTTTTCCCGTGCGCAAGTGGAGAGCGAGTGGCACATTAATTGTTACGTACGTGTGTGACAGTACGCAGTATTCGTTGTCCTGTGGCGTTACTTCACCACACACTCATTCATTCATTCATTCAGTAGCATGTCCCTCGCGGAACCTCGCTGCCATAACAACCCTCCGGAAAACCTTCCTATCCTGAGCAAGATGTCCTGCGTCTGATACACCCATCTGGAGATCATCTGCCACATCCTGCACCCATCTTCTCCTTGGCCTTCCTCTTCCTCTCTTCCCAGGCATATACCCCTCCATTATTGTTCTCTCTAGACTTCCATGACGTTTCAAGTGACCAAAATATTTCAATTTTCTTTGTTTTATTGTCTTTTACTAGCCAACCCTCTTCAATATTCAGCTCTTGAAGTATGGATGCATTTGTTCTTTTCTTTACCCCAAGATATTCTTAGAACCTGTCTGTAACATTTATATTCAAATGCATTTATGCGCTGTTCCGCTTGTTTAGTAAGTGTCCAGGTCTCACAGGCGTATGTTGCAATGGGAAAGATGCATGCTCTTAACAATCTGACCTTTGTAGTTCTATCTGTACAATTCCATAATTTATTCAGTTGTTTTAGTCTTTGAAGAGCAATTGATAGTCGCCGTTTAATTTCTTTCATTGTGTCACCATTGTTGGTAACCAGTGACCCAAGATATTCGAAATTTTCCACCACTTCCAATCTTTCCTCATTAACATATATTTCCTTCTCCATGGAAGTTTTGTTTGTATGCCACCACACACTATCATATATATATATATCATATATTGTATATTGGTTGTCATATTACTTAAATATGTCTACATTTGCTGAGTTTTTGGAGTTAGGTCGAAGTATAGGCCTAGAAAATGGACAACTCCTGGCTTTCGCCGAAGCCAGAATGAAAGAGTTGTCGGACAGAGATAACCAGTTACGCGATGAGAGAACAGCGGAACGCGCCTGGAAAAAAGAAATGGAGTTGGAAAAATTACGCATGGAAAAAGAAGCTGAGGCGGAGAGACTGCGTTTCGAAATGGAAACTAATTTGAAAAGGTTACGTTTGGAGAATGAATTAAAACTAGCGCGTATAGATAGAGACAAGGTTGTTGCTGTGTCAGATTCAGAGAGCCGTCGTCTTGTGACTAGTAGCCGTTCGGGTTCCGAACAAGGGGCATGTGTCTACATACCCAAATTACCATTTCTTACACCTACAGAAGATCTTCATGATTTTTTGGATCGCTTCTCTTTAGCGATGAATACAGCTAAGATACCAGAGGAACAATGGGTATCACGTTTAAGGGATTTACTAACGGGACCAGTTTTGAACACGTTCACGAACTTATCAGAAGACGAACGCGCGTCGTTCAAAATAGTCAAACAAAAACTGCTGGCGTCGAAGTGCATGACCGAAGAAGGTTACCGTGTTCAGTTTAAATCTGTTGTGCCATCCGTCGATGGAAGTTTCGCTGATTTTGTGGCCCGTGTTAGAACGTTGTTTACGCGTTGGGTGACATTGGCAGATGTTAAAAACTCTTATGATAAGTTAGCTGATCTCATTATTCGAGATAAAATTTTATCATCATGTAGTTCGAAGATGTTCTCATTTTTTCAAGAAAGGAAACCGAAGTCAGTTGAGGAGATGACAACATTGGGAGAACAGTATGTCACTGCACATCCTGGTAAACCATTACACAACCCCAGGTTCGATGACATACTCCCAGCTGCATCCAGTATTAGGGTGCACCACAACGCCTCGTCAAATCGGCCCGGGTGGAACAAATCCAATATTAGGCAGGGGCGCTATCGCAGCCACAGCGAACAGAGACAACCACCCCATAGAGATCAAACGTCCAAAAAGCAGGGTGAACATTATCAACCCCGTTCATATGTTTGTTCAATCTGTTTTTCGTGGAGACACAAAAGTCCCAATTGTCCCCGCAAGAGACACAGGAAAGATGATGATGATGGTCCATCATCACGAGGTAGGTTTCAACGCAACACAGGTCCTATAAGGTGCTATGTCTGCCGGGGTTTCCATAAACGTTCTGATTGCCCAAGGGTTATGAACAGTCATGCTAATTCCGCGCAAACAGTAAACGCAGCGATGTCACAAAAAGTGACAAATGTAGCGGACGGTCAGGTTCGAATCCAACCCGAAATTGTTTACCCAGCGTTGTCCGCTGTACCACTGGAGGCTGGTTTACCTTTGCATAATGGTTATGTTGGAAACATAAAATCTAAGGTATTACGTGATACGGGCGCCAATGTGATAGGAGTGGCTAGATATCTAATCCCCAAATCGGCATACTTAGGTCGGTATTGCAAGTGTCGTACTTTTGGTGGTCGTCTAGAAAGATTTCCTTTAGCAAAAGTCTATTTAAATAACCCGTATTTTGAAGGTGTTGCCGAGGTGTGTGTTTTGGAGAGACCGTCAGCAGACGTACTCCTTGGATCAGTTCCAGGAGCAAAGATGCCCTCGCGTGAGGAAATCGAACGCTGGTATAAGGAAAATGAGGGTGTGACTGAAGCTAATGCTGCAGTTACACGCGCTCAACAGAGAGTAAGTAACGAGGAAGCCACACCTGCGTTACAGTCAGCTACTTCGAACGAAAACCAAATAGCTATCACATGTGGGATAGCTAGCGAAGAAGCACTAAAGAAAGAACCAGAACGACCAAAAGAGCTTGGAAACGAACCACACGCACCGAAAACAAACAGTTTTGCGATGCAACAACGGGCTGATCCTACCCTCACTAAATGCTTTACTAGGGCAGAAGTAACCGGTGTTAGAACATGTAAGCAAGGTACATGGCATTTTTATGTGAAGAATGGAATTTTAATGAGATATTTTAAATCACCTGTTATACAATGT